GTGACACCATTGCCAGCACAGATTGTAGGCAGGACAGTTGTAGATCGAAGGTTTTGTGACTGGATTGATGGCCCAATTGCACTGCTAGGAGACTTGCCTGCTTATAAAAGATGACCAATCTGGGCTCTGTATCCCCCATTACTAGTCACCCTCATAGATTCCAGAGAGTTTCCTCTACTGGGTTTCTACATTGCCCCCAATGCCCACAAAGTCCTAGTACTTTTTCCCTCCCTCCCTCTCTCTTTTCTCCTCCTAAGCCTCTCCTACCCCATCCCCACCTACCCTCAGTCCACCCACAAAATCTGTTCTATTTCTATTTCTTCCCAGGGAGATCCATGTGTCCTCCTTGAGCCCTCCTTCTTACTTAGCCTCTCTGAGTCTTTGGATTGTAGCATGATTATCCTTACTTTACAGCTAATGCCCATTTATAAGTGAGTACATGCCATGTTTGTCTTTTTGGGTCTAGGTTACCTCACTCAGGATGATCTTTTTTCTAGTTCCATTCATTTCTAAGAGCTAAGTAATACTCCATTGTGTAACTGTACCACATTTCTTTTCAATCCTTTCTTCGGTTGAGAGACATCTAGGTTGTTTCCAGTTTCTGGCTATTATGAAATGAGCATGGTTGAGAAAGTGTCCTTGCGGTAGGACACAGTATCCTTTATGTATCCTTTGTGCCCAAGAGAGTGGTGTACCTGAGTCTTGAGATAGGTCAATTCTCAATTTTCTGAGGAACTGCCATATTGATTTTTACAGTGATTGTGTAAGTTTTCACTCACACTGGTAATGGAGGAGAGCTCCCCTTGCTCTACGTCTTTGCCACTATGAGCTGTCACTTATGTTATTGCTCTTAGCCATTTTGACAGTTTTAAGATGGAATCTCAGAGTTCTTTTGATTTGCATTTCCCTGATGGCTAAGGATGTTAAACATTTCTTTGTTTCTTAGTTATTTGAGAATCCTCTGTTGAGAATTCTCTGTTTAGATCTATACTCCATTTAGTAATTGTATTGTTTGGTTTGTTGATGTCTAGTTTCTTGAGGTATTTATGTATTTTGGATATTGGCCCTCTGTCATGTTTGGAGTTGGTGAAAATTTTTCCCATTCTGTAGGCTGCCGTTTTGTCCTATTGAAGGTGTCCATTGCCTTACAAGAGCTTGTCAGTTTTATGAGGTGCCATTGATCTCAGTGTCTGTGCTATTGATGTTCTGTTCAGGAAGATGTCTCCTATACTAATGCATTCAGTGTATCTGGATTTATGTTGAAGTCTTTGATGCCCTTGGACTTGCAGGGTGATATAGATATGGATCTATTTGCATTCTTCTACATGTAGACATTCACCATTAGACCAGCACCATTTGTTGAAAATTCTTTATTTTTTCCATTGCGTATTTCTGGCTTCTTTATCAAAAATTAGGTATCTATGGATGTGTGGATATACATCTGGGTCTTAGATTCGATTCCATTGATCAACTTGTCTGGTTTTAATGCTGATACCATGTGATTCCATTGATTAGCCTATTTTTATGCCAATATCATGAGATTCCTTTGATAAGCCTGTCTGTTTTTCTGCCAATACCATGCAGTTTTTATTACTATGGCTCTGTAACACAGTTTGAAATTAGGGATGGTGATTCCTCTGTAAGTTCTTTTTTTTTAAAGGACTGTTTTAGCTATCCTGGGATTTTTATTTATTCATATGAAGTTGAGCTTTGTTTTTGCAAGGTATGTAAAGAATTGTGTTGAAATTTTGATGGAGATTGCTTTGAATCTGTAGATTGCTTCTAATAAGATGCTTATTTTTACTATGTTAATCCTATTAATCCATTAGTATGAGAGATCTTTCCATCTTCTTCGATTTCTTTCTTCAGAGACTTAAAGTTTTTGTCATACAAGTCTTTCACTTGCTTGGTTCCAGTTACCCCAAGATATTTTATATTATTTATGGTCATTGTGAAGGGTGTTACTTCCTTGATTTCTTTCCTAGTCCATTTGTCACTTGTGTATAGGAGGGCTACTCGATTTTTGTTGTTGTTGTTATTGTTTGTTTGGTTTTCTTTTTGTTTTTTTTTAAGTTAATATTGTATCCAGCCACGTCACTAAAAGTGTTTATGAGGTCACTTATGTATGCTATCATATCATCTTTGAATAGTGATACTCTAACTTCTTCCTTTCCAAAATGTATCCCCAATGTATTTGATCTCCATTAGTTGTCTTATTGCTCTATCTAGAAATTCAAGTACTATATTGAATAGACATGGAGAGCATGGACAGTCTTGTCTTGTTCTTGATTTTAGTGGATTTGCTTTTAGTTTCTCTCCATTTAATTTGATGTTGGCTATAGGCTTGCTGTAAATTGAATTTATTATGTTGATGCATGTTCCTCATATCCCTTGTTTCTCCAATACATTTATCTTGAAGGGGTGTTGGATTTCAACGTCTAATGAGATGGTTATGCAGTTATTTTTCAGTAGTTTATATGGTCGATTACACTGGCAGATCTTTTAATGTTGAACCATCCCTGCATCTCTGGGATGAAGTGTACTTGACCATGGTGGATGGATGATCTTTTTGATGTCTTCTTGGATTTCTAATATTTTATTGAATATTTTTGCATTTATATTCATGAGGGAAATTGGTCTGTAATTCTCTTTCTTTGTTGAATCCTTATGTGGTTTGGGTACCAGGGTGACTGTGGTCTCTTAAAATAAATTTACCAGGATTCCTTCTGTTTATACTTTGTGTAATAATTTGAGGAGTATTGGTATTAGTTCTTCTAAGAAAGTCCAGTAAAATTCTGAGCTAAAACCATCTGGCCCTAGGCTCTTCTGGGGTTGGGAGACTTTCAATGACTATTTTTTTTTTGCCTATTTCAGAGGTTATAGGTCTGTTAAAATTGTTTATCTGTGTTTGATTTAACTTTAGTAAGTGGTATATTTTGAGTAAATTATCCATTTGTTTGATATTTTCCATTTTGGGGGAGTACAGGTTCTTAGGATTTCCTCAGTGCCTTTTTTCATATCCTCTTCTTCTTTCTGATTTTGTTAATTTAGATAATGCCTGTGTGTTTTAGTTAGTTTGGAAAGGGTTTGTATATCTTTTTGATTTTCTCAAAGAACCAACTTTTTGTTTTGCTGATTCTTTGCACTGTTCTCTTTGTTTCTATTTTATTGATTTCAGTCCTCCGTTTGATTGTTTCCTGGATCTACTCCTCCTGGGTGAGTTTGCTTCTTTTCATTGTAGAGCTTTTAGGTGTGTTGTTAAGCTGCTAATATGAGATCTCTCCAGTTTTTTTAGGAAGACATTTAGTGCTATGAACTTTCATCTTAGCAGTGCTTTCATTGTGTCCCATTAATCTGAGTATGTTGTGCATTCATTTTCACTGAATTTTATTTTATTTTTTTTGTTTTGTTTTGTTTTTTTGCCTACTACTTTACGCGGATCTACGGTGGATGGTGGAAATCTGTGGGTCGTTCTGCAGGCCGGCGGGGGGGCACTGACAGACCTTATGGAACTACTTGCACTGGGCCGGAAATCGAACTCGGGTCCTCCGGCGGAGCTGTAGGGCGCTCTACCCCCTGAGCTGTCTCTCTGGCTCTTTTACTGAATTTTAGAAAGTCTTTCATTTCTTTCTTCATTTCTTCCTTTACTTAGTGGTCATTCAGTAGAGAGCTGTTCAGTTTCCAAGATTTTGTAGGCTTTCTGTTGTTTCTGTTTTTGTTGAAATCCAGTTTTAATCCATGGTGGTTTGATAGGATGCAGGGGGTTATTTCAATTTTCTTGTAACTGTTGAGACTTGCTTTGTAACTGAATATGTGATCAATTTTGGAGAACGTTCCTGAGTGTTGAAAAGAAGGTATATTCTTTTGTCTTTTGGTGAAATGATCTATAGCTATCTGGTTTATATTTGGTTTATAATGTCTGTTAGTTCTAGTATTGCTGTTCAGTTTTTGTCTGGATGACCTGTCCATTGGTGAAAGTGGAGTACTGAAGCCTCCCACTACAATGTGTGAGAGTCAGTGTGTTTTAAGCTTTAGTAGTGTTTCCTTTACAAATGTGGCTGCCCTTGTGTTTGGAGCATAGACATTAATAATTCAAAGATCATCTTGCTGGATCTTTCCTTTAACGACCATGAAGTGTTATTTCCTGTCTCTTTTCATTAATTTTGAAATCTATTTTGTTAGATATGAGAATGACTATGCCACCTTGTTTCTTAGGTACATTTGCTTTGAAAGTCTTTTTAGTTTAGAAAGTATGTTTAGTGTTTTGATTACTATGTGGTGAAGGGACTTTCCTTTCTGATTCAGTCTATTTGGTGTTCTGTAAGCTTCTTGTACCTTAATTGGCATGTCCTTAGGAAAATTTCTTCTATGATTTTGTTGTTAAAATGGTTTCTAGGCCTTTGAGCTGGAATTCTTCTCCTTCGGCTCCTATTATTCTTAGGTTTGGTCTTTATTTCATAATGTTCCAGAGTTTTTGGATGTTTTGTGTCAGGATTTTTTTCAGATTTAATATTTCCTTCCACTGACATATCAATTTCTTCTATTGTATCTTCTATACCTGAAATTCTCTCTTCCATCTCTTGTATTCTTTTTTTTTTCCACATCAACTTTTTGTTTTAATAAATAAAGAGTATTTGTGGCTTAGATTTTAGATGACGTTTACAGATGAGGACAACGAGACCCAAACAGTAACAGTGAGGCGAGTGTTGCTGGAGGAATGCAAGCCCCACATGCACATGACACCAATGCAGGGGACAGCATGCACAACTCACTCTAGATTAGACTAGGAGCAGGGAGAACAGGTCCTTCCGTGGTGAGGGTCATGCGGCACCATCTGACCCCTCAAGTCCTGCTGCAGAGCCAGTGCATGGCTGTAGTGTCAGTTGAGCTGGGGCTGGGTTCCTGCCCACACCACATGGCCCTCCCTTCTGTTGACATTGGGCATTAGCTGCAGAGGGTATCCAGTGATTACCAGTATTATAACAGAAAGAGGAAGCCACACAGATATGTGCTGCACCAGGAGTACGGCCTCGGATGAACTGCACCTCCCCAGGCTCAGTCCAGAAACTTCCTATTGGCATTTGCACCAAACAAGGCCCCCCGGACCTCCGGCATCATCTGTTGAGCTATGAGGTCCAGCCGGCTTTCCAGAGTGTTGGAAACCTTTATCTTGCGATCCCCATTATAGATTTCAACTCCACCAGCTATTTCCTCAGGCAGGTAGGCCTCCTGGTCAATTTGGACATCGACGTCTTTTTTGGTGGCAATTTTATACATAGGAATTGCTTTTTGTACTGCAGCCTTCACCAGAGGGAAATCTTGTTTTCTGCATCGCACAATCATCCGCGGCTCCAACAGCTGGTACAAACCCTGGAGGACCAGCCCGTCCAACAGCACTTGGTATCTGGTTGTATCTTTCACGACCTTGCTGAGTCTCTGTTTTGCCTCATTTAGCAGATCGGTGATGAGGTCATCCCTTGCTCTGAGGACTTTGAGTCTTGCTTGATTCATCAGATTGGACATTTGAATTTTCTTCTGCTGCTCAATCTGTTTTTCTTTCTTCTCATAGTATTCCATAATCTTCAGTCTTTGGGTTTGCACAAGACGACCCTTCTCAATGTTGAACTCTTCTTCTGCCTTTGCGTCAATTTCTTCTGCCTTCTCATTGGCTTCTTGTTCGATGAAAGCCATCATGTGTTTAATCTGCTTCAGTACGTCTGCATCGCTGAGGGCCATGGCGAAGGTGAAGCTCGGCCAGAAGACCGCTTCGAGACGGAGCTTTAAGCTGTAGCGGAGCAAACCCGAGACGAAAACCCAGCTGAGGGCTCAGCTTCCTTTTCCATCTCTTGTATTCTATTGGTGATGATTTGCATCTGTAGTTCCTCTTCACTTACTAGATTTTTCATCTCCAGGATTCCCTTAGTGTGTGTTTTCTTTGTTGCTTCTATTTCCATTTTCAGGTCTTGAACAGTTTTGTTCATTTCATTCACCTGTTAGTTGTTTGTTTTTTCTCTTGGCTTTCTTTAAGGGATCTATTTATTTCCTCTGTTTGTATTTTCCTTGAGGAAAACATTTCTGCTTTAAGGACCTGTATCATCTTTACAAAGTTAACTTTATGGTTATTTTCATGTACTTCATTTGTGCTGGAATATTTAGGGCTTGGTATGGTATAGCTGGGCTCTGGTGGCGTGATAGTGCCCTGGCTCTTGTTGAGTGTGCTCTTATGCTGCCTCTAGGCATTTGGGTTTGGGGTAATTATAGGCTTATGTGACAATTTCTGAGTTTGTCTTTGTTGGATGGGTGTTTTCCCTCCAGGTTTCTACTTGCTTTCTGGTCTTCTTACCCGGGTTTCTGGTGGTCAGTGAGTCTTATAATCTAGTAGGGTGCCTCTGCTGTGGTTCTGGTGGCATGCATGACCTCCGGGGTTCTAAGTGCTGGTGTTTCCCCTGAAGTTTTGGCTAACTGGCATATCCTCTGGTAAAACAGGAGGCTTCTGCTGGAGTTGTAGGCCAGTGTCCCAACTCTTAAATATATATGAGGTATTTTTTTCCTTATTTATTTGTTTAAAGAATTTCCACTTCCTCCCCTCCTCCCAATACCTTCCCATTCCCCCCACTCCCTCTCTTCCTCCCTCACCATTCCCAAGAGCAGTCAGGATTTCCTGCCCTGTGGGAAATCCAAGTTCCTCCACCCTCCCTCCAGGTCCAGCAAGGTGAGCATCCAAACAGACCAGGATCCCAAAAAGCCAGTCCATGCAGACGAAACAAGACCCACTGCCATTGTCAATGGCTTCTCAGTCAGCCCCCATGTCAGCCACATTCAGAGAATCCGGTTTGATCACATGCTCGTTCAGTCCCAGTCCAGCTGGCCTTGGTGAGCTCTCATTCAATCAGTCCCCTTGTATCAGTGGTTGGAAGCACCCTTCGCGGTCCTGACTTCCTTCTTCATATTCTCCTTCCTTCTGCTCTTCATTTGGACATTGGGGCCTCAGTCTAGTGCTCCAAATGTGGGTCTCCGTCTCTATCTCCGTCCATCATCGGATGAAGGTTCCCTCTGGTTCTGCCTTCCTTGCTCACGTTCTTCCTCCCTCTGCTTCTCATTTGGACCTAGGGAGTTAAGTCCAGTGTTCCAATATGTGTCTCTGTCTCTATCTCCATCCTTCGCCATATGAAGGTTCTGTGGTGACATGCAAAATACTTATCAGTATGGTTATGGGCAAGGCTAGTTCAGGCACCCTCTCCTCTGCTGCCCAGGGAACAATCTGGGGACCTCTCCTTGGGCCTGGGAACCCTTCCAGAATCAAGTCTCTTGTAAACCCTAAAATGGCTCCCTTAGTTGAGATATAAACTTCCCTGCTCCCATAACCATCCTTCCTCCCTCCCCCCATTCCATTCCCCCAAGCCATCCCCAATCCTCCCCCTCTCCCTAACCATCTACCCTTACTTCCATCCCCCCACCCCCCGTGCACCCAAGTTTGCCTGGCAATCTTGTCTACTTCTAATATCCAGGAGGATAACTATATGATTTTCTTCAGGATTACCTTCTTATTTAGCTTCTCTAGGATCACGAATTATAGACTCAAAGACCTTTAACTATGGCCAAAATCTACTTATGAGTGAGTACATACCATATTCCTCTTTTTGAGTCTGGGTTACCTCACTCAGTAAAGCGTTTTCTATTTCCATCTATTTGCATGAAAAATTCAAGATGTCATTGTTTTTTACCGCTGAGTAGAACTCTAATGTGTATATGTTCCACACCTTCTTTAACCATTCTTCTATTGAGGGGCACCTAGGTTGTTTCCATGATCTGGCTATTACAAATAGTGCCACTATGAACATAGTTGAACAAATACTTTTGTGGTATGATAGGGCATCTCTTGGATATATTCCCAAGAGTGGAATTGCTGGGTCCTGAGGGAGGTTGACTCCCAGTTTCCTGAGAAACCGCCACACTGATTTCCACAGAGGCTGCACAAGTTTGCATTCCCACCAACAATGGATGAGTGTTCCCCTCACTCCACATCCTCTCCAGCATAGGCTATCATTGGTGTTTTTGAGTTTAGCTATTCTGACAGGTGTAAGATGGTACCTCAAAGTGGTTTTGATTTGCATTTCCCTGATTGCTAAAGAGGTTGAGCATGACCTTAAGTGTCATTTGGCCATTCGAAGTTCATCTGTTGTGAATTCTCTGTTCAGTTCAGTACCCCATTTTTTAATTGGGTTAATGAGAGTTTTAGTGTCTAGTTTCTTGAGTTCTTTGTATATTTTGGAGATCAGACCTTTGTCTGATGAGGGGTTGGTGAAGATCTTCTCCCAGTCCGAAGGTAGCCTTTTTGTCTTACTGACAGTGTCCTTTGCTTTACAGAAGCTTCTCAGTTTCAGTAGGTCCCATTTATTCATTGATTCTCTTATTGTCTGTGCTACTGGGGTTCTACTTAGGAAGTGGTCTCCTGTGCCTATATCTTGTAGACTACTTCCCACTTTCTCTTCTATCAGGTTCAAAGTGGACAGATTAATGTTGATGTCTTTAATCCATTTGGACTTGAGTTTTGTGCATGGTGATAGATATGGATCTACTTTCATTCTTCTACAGGTTGACATCCAGTTATGCCAGCACCATTTGTTATAGATGCTTTCCTTCTTCCATTGTATACCTTTAGCTCCCTTGTCGAAAATTAGGTGTTCATAGGTTTGTGGGTTAATATCCGGGTCTTCTATTCGATTCCATAAGTCGACTTCTCTGTTCTTATGCCAATACCAAACTGTTTTCAATACTGTAGCTCTGTAATAGAGTTTGAAGTCAGGGATGGTAATGCCTCCAGAAGTTCCTTTATTGTATAAGATTGTTTTGACTATCCTGGGTTTTTTGTTTTGCCATATAAAGTTGATTATTGTTCTCTCAAGGTCTGTGAAGAAGTTTGATGGGATTTTGATGGGAATTGCATTGAATCTATAGATTGCTTTTGGTAGAATTGCCATTTTTACTATGTTGATTCTCCCAATCCAAGAGCAGGGGAGGTCTTTCCATTTTCTGGTATCCTCCTCAATTTCTTTCTTCAAAGACTTAAAGTTCTTGTCAAATAGGTCTTTCACTTCCTTGGTTAGAGTTACCCCAAGATATTTTATGCTATTTGTGGCTATCATGAAAGGTGATGTTTCTCTGATTTCCCTCTCTGCTTCTTTATCCTTTGTGTATAGGAGGGCAACCGATTTTTTGGAGTTGATCTTGTATCCTGCCACATTACTAAAGGTGTTTATCAGCTGTAGGAATTCTTTGGTAGAGTTTTTGGGGTCGCTTATGTACACTATCATATCGTCTGCAAATAACGAAAGTTTAACTTCATCCTTTCCAATTCGAATCCCCTTGGTCCCCTTATGTTGTCTTATTGCTATTGCTAGAACTTCAAGCACTATATTGAAGAGGTATGGAGAGAGTGGACAGCCTTGTCGTGTTCCTGATTTTAGTGGAAAGGCTTTGAGTTTCTCTCCATTCAATTTGATGTTAGGCATCGGCTTGCTGTATATTCCTTTTATTATATTTAGGTATGATCCTTGTATCCACAGTCTCTCCAACACTTTTATCATAAATGGGTGTTGAATTTTTTCAAATTCTTTTTCAGCATCCAATGAAATGATCATATGGTTTTTTTCTTTCAGTTTATTTATATGATGGATTACATTGATAGGTTTGTGTATGTTGAACCAGCCCTGCATCTCTGGGATGAAGTCTACTTGATCATAATAGATAATTTTTCTAATGTGTTCTTGGATTTGGTTTGCCAGTATTTTATTGAGAATTTTCGCGTCAATGTTCATGAGTGAGATTGGCCTGTAATTCTCTTTCTTGGTTGTGTCTTTGTGTGGTTTTGGTATCAGAGTAACTGTAGCTTCATAAAAGGAGTTTGGCAATGACTCTTCTCTTTCTTTATTGTGGAATACGTTAAGGAGTATAGGTATTAGCTCTTCCTGGAAGTTCTGGTAGAATTCTGCATTGAAACCATCTGGTCCTGGGCTTTTTTTTGGTAGGGAGATTTTTGATAACAGCTATTAATTCTTCACGACTAACAAGTCTATTTAGATTGTTCACCTGTTCTTGGTTCAACTTTGGTATATTGTACTTATCTAAAAAAATGTCCGTTTCTTTTACATTTTCCAACTTTATGGCATATAAACTTTCATAGTAAGAGCTAATGATTCTCTGAATTTCCTCTGTGTCTGTGGTTATGTCCCCCTTTTCATTTCTGATCTTATTAATTTGCATGTTCTTTCTCTGCCGTTTGATTAATTTGGATAGGGGTTTGTCGATCTTGTTTTCTCCAAGAACCAGCTTTTTGTTTCATTGATTCTTTGGATTGTTTTCTGTGTTTCTATTTTGTTGATTTCAGCCCTCACTTTGATTATTTCCAGTCTTCTACTCCTTCTGGGTGAATCAGCTTCTTTTTTTCTAGAGCTTTCAAGTGTGCTGTTAAGTCTCCAATGTGTGCTTTCTCCGCTTTCTTTAATTGGGCACTTAGTGCTATGAACTTTCCTCTTAGCACTGCTTTCATAGTGTCCATAGGTTTGAGTATGTTGTGTCTTTGTTTTCATTAAATTCAAGGAAGACTTTAATTTCTTTCTTTATTTCTTCCTTGATCCAGGGGTGATTTAGTGGTTGACTGTTCAACTTCCATGAGTTTGTTGGCTTCCTGGGGGTAGCATTGTTGTTGAATTCTAACTTTAATCCATGGTGATCCGACAAGACACAGGTGGTTACTAATATTTTTTTGTATCTGTGGAAGTTTGCTTTGTTACCGAGTATGTGGTCAATTTTTGAGAAG